TATTATTATTATTATTATTATTATTATTATTATTGCTCTTGCTGTTGTTATTATATATTTATTTATTTATTTCAACAATGTTTTGTGATGGTGGTCCATCCAGCCAGAGCTGATCAACCTGGGCCCCTTAGTACATGTCTACAATTAAAGACAAAAGAATAAAAGTTAAAAATAGATAACATAAACAAATTAATTAAATTAGGCCTAAAACAGAAAAATGACAAAAATCAAAAAATAATTTTAAAAAAATAATGATTTAAGGAAAACATTGTTGTTATTATAGCATTAACTGGGTTGTGACAGCTCCTTCCTATGCCTTTATACCCCTATTATGAAATGGTTTGCTTGCATAAACTTTCATAATACACTGCCTTTAACCGCTTTTTGCTCAGTTTAAATTAATTTGAACAGATTTCTAGACACAGTTGGTATGCAGGCCCGTAGCCAGGGGGGGTTTTTATGGTTCGGGCGAACCCCCCTTTTCTAGCGAACCCCCCTGTTTTCTAGCGAACCCCTCAAATTTTTGAATGAGTTCCACTCGGACGGAATGTCTGTTTTTTACTTACCCAGCATTAAATCAACATTTAGCACCTAAATTCATTATTTGGTCACCCGTTTTTAAATTCTAGCCTGCGATACAAGCCTTATAATTGTCCCTTGTGGGCCATCGTTCTTGTGTGCCATCGTAAGCTTCAGCACTGATGATACCACTTTTTATTCAAATTTCATTTGAAATCTTGACATAGAAGTAATGTTTTATAGAAGACTACCAGTGGCGGATTTAGATGGGGCGTACACCCCCTCTATTGTTTTGTAAAAAAATTCTTTTGTAAAGCTTATCAGAAAATTACCATGCTAAATATTAAAAGAAATCAATCAACTCAATTAATGATGAAGGTGCTAGAGTTCAGGAGAATCTTCCCTTGCACCCGGCCCTACTTGGCCCTACAAAGGGCTCTTTCCTGAGACTCTCGCACAGTTCGGACACTCGCGCCTCATCTTTCTTACCGGGCTGCATCCGTCCCCCTGACTACTGTTATTATTTTTATGTTCTAAAATTGACTGTGGCATAATATAAAAAATGAAATTATGTTAGTATCTAAATTAAATAAAATAAAGAAAGTTGCAGCGACGGACTTGTTGATATAGGGGTGTCTACAAAACGAAGCCCTTAATTATCTCGTCCACCCTAAGTTGGTGTCACCAATGTAATTCAACAAAAGCACGCACATCTCCGCTCTCGAACATAGCGCGTGCGTACAGTCCTTTGATCTTTACTGTGGCATCGACAATCCGATACTAGTTGCGAGTACATTAATCTGTCATTTTGACAATGTTGGCATAAGGTGCCGAGGACGAACATTTGAGTATATACGGAACATTTATTAATTTTTTCTGCGAAGTGAGTCTCATGAACGACAATTCACCACAATTTTGGTAAAATTAATGTTGAAATGAAGAATATATTTCAGTCTAATGTTAGTGCAAAATATCATTAGGCCATTGTAATCACCGCACGACGCGCGACTAACATGGCAACTAACACGCGCGTGGGTAAATCGTCACGTACGCTGACGGTTTATGGTCTGGTTGCTATGGTTTTTGTGACGTTCAGCGTGTGCGCCTAGAATGTCGATGCCAGAGTTATAACCTTTGATGTCCCGAGATGTGCGTCCTTTTGTTGAATTACCTACAAAACGAAGACCGAAAAACGAAGACCCACATTTTTTTTTCTCTCAATAGTAATAAAATAATGAAACATGTACTTGGCAACTGTTTTATGATGATTTTGAAATACTTTCAATAAGATAATTGAGAAATAATTGGAGGTCTTCGTTTTTCGGTCTTCGTTTTGTAAACACCCATATAGGGACGTGTCTATAAAACGAAGATCCTTGAAAATTTCACAAACAGACGCCCAAAAAATGTCGTAAATTTGATTTTGTGACAGCATGGCGTATTATCATCAAAATGAACGAGAAAAAAAATAGGGGTCTTCGTTTTTGGGTCTTCGGTCGTCGTTTTATAGACACCCCTTTTGTTCCACAGTATAGCAAAACATGGCTTGACCCTATGATGTAGCCCTGCAGCGCATCTGACTTGACCTCAGTCTGTTGTCAATTAATATGAAATGCGCGCGCGCAAAGGCTTTTTCATTTTGTTTGCAGGGTTTCCTTTTTTTGTTTGCAGCATTTCCTTTTTTGCTTGCAGCTTTTTCTTTTGTTTGCTGGTGTTTTTATTTTTTGCTTGCAGCGTTTCTTTATTTGTTTGCTAGTGTTTCTTATTTTGTTTGCAGCGTTTCTTTATTTGTTTGCTAGTGTTTTTATTTTTTGTATTCAGCGTTTCTTTTTTGTTTGCAGCATTTCTTTTTTGTTTTCAGCGTTTCATTTTTTTGTTTGCTGGTGTTTTCTATTTTTGTTTGCATCGTTTCCATTTTTGTTTGCATCGTTTCTATTTTTGTTTGCATTATTTCTTTTTTGTTTGCATCATTTCTTTTTTTGTTTGCAGCGTTTCTTTTCTGTTTCCATGATTTCTTTTTTGTTTGCAGCATTTCTTTTTCTTTGCAGTGTGTCCCTTGTGGGCCATCGTACTTGTGGGCCATCGTAGCACAGTGGGCCAGATTGAAGTCAAAGTGCCAAAATTAATTACTCATTACAGAAGCTAAACTAAGCGAATACAAGACTTATCTAGAGGTTTTCATACCCGTAGAATTCAATAAAAGCATTTTCAAATCAATATGACGTCATTTTTGTACTGTTTTCTGATTGGACGATGTTAGTTTTCATTGTAATACCAGGGAACAGTGAAATTACAAATTAATTTTGAAATGTTTAAGGAGGTTTGGGACAAAAGAACTATCTGGAGAAAACATTGTTGTATTTTCCATGACGTCATCAAAATAAATTTTTCTGATTGGACGGGGCCAAAAGTGGCATAGGCCAACATTAAAATTTCTATTGTTAATCTTACAGTGAATATAAATCAAAATCAAAATTCATAATAATTCCAGACAACCTAATTTTACATTTTTTAAATGTAAAATGTGTTTGCATCTGAGATTCTATGGAATTATCAGACATTTCCTACACCAATGTCATGATAGTGATAATCATATATTGTCATATATTAATTCCGTCCCCAATCGTATTAGGCCTATATTGTAAAAGTATCGATAATGGTCGTTTTATGTTTTTTTGATAATTCTCAGTGCAGTATGAATGAGGAGGCTTTAAAGGGGAACTTTTGCTGTCCTCTTTGACAGGTATTCTGTACCACCAGGATAGAAATGCTTTTTTGCTACTCTTTATTTTGGTGTAAGGAGGAGTCTCATTTTACTATGAGCTACAAAAATGGACAATGTTTCATCTGTCGTGAACGATTCCGGTTTGCGCCTCAGGGGTGACGCCAGCAGGGGGAATCGGGCTGGGTCCCCCCCCCCACACCCCGGCGTTGGGGAGATAAACTACAATTCGTCAGGGAGAAATAAAATGTGTATGTATTTTCTACATATTAGTAGACTCTAAAATCGATTCTTCTTGAATGCCCATTGCAATGCTGCATAAAGAAGTTCAGCGCGTGCATTACATTTTATGTCAACATCTCTTGTACTTTACCCTTGTGCAAACTCTCTGAAAAGATCCTCCCATACTTCGATAAGACGTCCCGGTTTGAGTCTGTTTTAAGTCCCTTGTGGGTTTCCTGCTGGTGTGGAAAGAATGTCTCTGTTCTGTGTCAAAACATTAATAACCTCATCAGAAAATGGAGTTATTTTCTTTAGAAACCCGGCAAACACATGTCTACGTTCTTATAACGTTCTTGGCGAATGTTGTGGTTAGGTATGTCACAAAATAACGTTTACACAACGTTGTAGGAACGTGGAAACGTTGTGAAATTATGTTCAGTATGTATTTATGGTTCTACAAAATAAAGTTTTCATCACAAAACTCTAATTATTGTCACGTTATCATAATGTATTATTGTTTGCTGGGAAGGTCGTTAGTACTCGCGTAGTAGCTCACCTCTCCTTAAGTTGAAACAGGAAGCTTTCAAAGTCTTGGATGTGTTTGAATAAAGTTAAAAACAATCGACGCGTAGATATAGGCCTGCTTATAGATATCTTTATTATGATAATTATATAATATTTGGATTATTAGACTGCTCAAAATTTAATAAAGTATTCTAAACAGCAACAAAATATTAGAAGATTTGCTACTGTTAAATCACGAGCTGCAATTTGTCAATTTTTGAAGTGCTTTTCCCACGCTTTGCAAGAACTGGTTGAGTAGACGCGCGTACACCCCTCTTATTTGCGGTTTGCTCTAATTAAATGGTGTCTCAAATGTACGAAAACATGGCTGATAAAAGTGCGTCTAGCTCGCAAAGTTGCAAAAAGTAGCAGCTAAATTTGGTACCATCATAAAGCTAAGGCTATACTGAAGATGGTGATGTAAAAATTAAAGCATGAATCCACATGAATCTAAACTTTCTCTCCTACTTTTCTAAAAATAGATTTTTAAATATTTTTTCTGTCGTTTAAACAACGATTTATTATTGATACAAACTTCAAATTTAAACCAAAACATATATTTGTGTTCCCCAATTTATATACAAGAAACCTGTGCATTTTGAAAATTCCGAATTTTCTGTAAGAAAAAAAAAACGTGTTTTGATATAATGTAGTCAATTATAGCATTTGAAATATTTATAGAGAAATTTCCGACATTTGTTGAAAAATACTACCCTTAAAATTCGTTTAAATGTAAAATATTTTCATGATAGATTCACCAGGGTATACCCATATTCAATCATGTGAAAAAAAGTGTAAAAGCCATAGTCACCAAAATGGACTTTTGGCACACTTTGATTTCGTCCTGGCCCACTGTGCGTCGGCTAGCCTTAGACGAAAGATGTTTTTATTATTAAAAATACCTCTTAGTAGTAGTGCCCAATTTTTTTTCGTCCTATTTTTATTTAGGCCTATTTTCTTTTTTTTGTTTTAA